AGTCTCAAAGATGAAGAACTTGGATGCCAATGTTGGAGAGCAGGAAGCATCTAGTACGGGAGAAAGATGCGGGCTGGGAGACTAAGCCAGTCTAGTCTTTCCAAGTTCCTTTGTCTGCTTTTATCCTAGCAGTGCTGAAAACTGGTTAAATGGTGCCCACCCAAACTAAGAGTGGGTCAGCATCTCCCAGACCCCTGACTCATGTTAATCTCCTTTGGCAACACCCTCACAGACACACCCAGGAACAACACTTTGCACCCTTCAATCCAATCAAGTTGACACTCAATATTCACCATCACAGAGGGTTAGACTGACTTTTTAGGTTTTAAGGGGTTTAAAATTCCACCCTATCCCTATTCTGTCTATTCGTAATGATAACCGAATTTATTCGCTTCTCCTGTGGAGTCAGTGATACCTAATGGAAGAGTGGGGAGGTAACTCTAACTCAAACTATCAGAAAGTTTTGGAAGGAGTTGTTGCTCTTGCATAGAGTCCTATTGTTCCGTGAGACCACTTACTGTTATTGCTCAGGGACAACCCATGAAAGGACATTCTATCCTTCTGCTGGAATTCTGCACAGAGCTAATAAAAATTACATCTATAAGCCTGGCTTTTCGACGCCGTGCACGTTTATTTTCTATAGGTGAGTGGCACCCTCTAGTGGTTCGAATTATGAACTTACCATCCGGGGCGAGATCAAACCTTTGAACACGGTGCTTCCAAGGCTCTCCCTCTCGTAAGGAATCTGAATTCCTGCTGATGCGTATCACTACATAGCAGGTAACCGAGACAGGCTAAGAATTACTAAACATAAAACTCTGTTACTTAAACTACCCTATCTCCACTGCAGATATGCCCCTTCTGCTGGCACTTGAGGAGAACAGCAGTATATCCTCTAATGTGCAGTAAATTTGTGTGTGATTTACATATTTATGTGTTAATGTGTTGTGTGTTAATAGAGGAAAAATGTTGTATTACTGGTCTCCCATCTGCAGAGAAGGCAGGAAGGTGGGCACCAGGGCATCATTGAGTGATGTTGGTGGCTCTTCCAAAAAATCAAGGCTCTTTGAAGACCACCAAGACCCCAGGCATTCTTATTTTTGAATCATGAAGATTTGGTTACTCTTTGTGTCCCCATCCAAATTTCATCTTGAATTGTAATCCCCATAATCCCCACGTGTCTAAGGAGAGACCTGGTGGGAGGTGACTGGATCATGGGGGTGATTTCTCCCATGCTGGTCTAGTGCTAGTGAGTTCTCATAAGATCTCACAGTTTTATAAGGAGCTTCCCCTCCATTGTTTCTCACTCTTCTCTCTCCTGTTGCCATGTGAGAATGTCCAAGCTTGCTTCCCCTTTGCCTTCCACCTGATGGTAAGTTTCCTGAGGCTCCCCCCAACCAGCTGTGCAAAACTGTGAGTCAATTAAACCTCTTTTCTTCATAAATTACCCATTCTTTGGCATTTATTTATAGCAGTGTGGAAACAGACTAATACACACCACTTTTTATCAAACATAAAAATTCAAATGTATCTATACTCTTACTTAAATATAAATATTAAATAAACATATTCTAAGATTTGTATAACTTTGTTTTTAAATTTTAAAATTTTCAACCACAAGCAATTCATTAAAATATACTTGACAGTGATTTCTCTGCAGAAACAGGAATTTTGCTTATGTGAGATAAAAATGTAAACTCCAAATTGTTTTCAAATGAAATGATTTTTTTTTTTTTTTGAGACCGAGTTTCACTCTTGTTACCCAGGGTGGAGTGCAATGGCACGATCTCGGCTCACCGCAACCTCCGCCTCCTGGGTTCAGGCAATTCTCCTGCCTCAGCCTCCTGAGTAGCTGGGATTACAGGCACGCACCACCATGCCCAGCTAATCTTTTGTATTTTTAGTAGAGGCGGGGTTTCACCATGTTGACCAGGATGGTCTCGATCTCTTGACCTCATGATCCACCCGCCTTGGCCTCCCAAAGTGCTGGGATTACAGGCGTGAGTCACCGTGCCCGGCATGAAATGAAATTTTTATAAATACTAAACTTAATATTTGGCCGGGCGCGGTGGCTCAAGCATGTATTCAGCACTTTGAGAGACCGAGGAGGGTGGATCACGAGGTCAAGAGATTGAGACCATCCTGGTCAACATGGTGAAACTCCGTCTCTACTAAAAATACAAAAATTAGCTGGGCATGGTGGTGCGTGCCTGTAATCCCAGCTACTCAGGAGGCTGAGGCAGGAGAATGGCCTGAACCCAGGAGGCAGAGATTGCAGTGAGCCGAGATCGCACCTTTGCACTCCAGCCTGGGTAACAACAGCAAAAACTCCGTCTCAAAACAAAAACAAAAACAAAAACTTAATATTTAATAAAGTCGACATTATAATGTTTTTCAAATAGTTCATTAAACATTTCTACGTTGTAATTTTATAGTGTTTTTGTACGCAAATAATAATATTTTTACTTTCTCAAAAGTTTAAAAGTAGATAAAATCTTTGCTTCTGGAAACGGTGGACTAGGTGTTCTGGAACAACTCTCTTGATAAAAGAAATTTAAAATGTTGAAAGATACTTTTATAATATATGAGAAATAGCAAAGCCCTCAAGAGGAAAGTGAGGGATTATCAGGGCAAGAAAAGATGATGAATTAAAACTCCAAAGAGCTCAGTGATAATAAAGAATGCTTCTACTGAGGTAGCATTTGCCATTTGCTGACCAAGAAAATTCAGCTACTTTTGGTATGGCGAATGAAAATAACTCACCTGGAGACTCTTAATTCTCAGTGAGGAGTGAGAGCACAGCAGCGTCCACTTGAAAAGAGGAAGGGAGTTAGTACTATAGTAGTATAAGACAAATCATGTTCATTTTGCCAAAAAACAAACAAACAAAAAACAAACAAAAAAAAACAGAAGGAAGAGTCTCCTGTTGCGTAGGCCAAAAAGTGCAGTAACGGTAGCTCTGATATTGGCAATGAGGAAAGAGACTAGATCATGCTGACTTACTTTTGCCTGATTATTTGTATAATGATTTTGAGTTGTGTCTAAAAAAGGCAATAGTTAGCTAAGTGGAGAGGTCAGAAAAGGTTATGAGAATGTGGGGAGAAGGTGAAGGAAGAAAGAGGAAGAGCAAAGGCATTAGAGTGACCATAAGTATGACGATTGCAGTGCACAGCCAATAATGATTACACACATAGGGAAGTTAGTTTGGGGGAGGAATAAGTAAGACTGTATGAATAGTATGGGGTTAGATTGCAGTGAAAACTATTTAGCAAGATAATTTAGGATTAGTTTGATAGTCAATGGAGAGCTAACTTAAGTATTTCTGCCTACACTGTCTTCAGTGACATATGAAATTTGTGTTTTAGGTCGAAAAAATAGCTAACTTTTTTTTAGTACTTTCTTCCAGGCAGTGAGTTAACAGTTAATAGTTAAGAAGGTGGCCTCTGGAGTTGGTTGGACCGGATTCTAGTCCTGACTCTGGAATTTACTAGCTATATGACTTTACGAAAATTATTTTCCCGAGTTTCAGTTTCTTCAACTGTAAAATTAACGTTATAGTACCCACCTCTTGAAGTTGTTTTAAGGACAACAGGTAAAGAGATTAATTTGGAATTAGTATTTAAGACAGATTGGAGAAGGGAAAACCTGTGGGCATGGAACAGTTAAAAAGCTACTGCAATTACTGCGCCTAGGCAAAGGTAGTAAACCACTAGACTGGCGACAGTGGACAAACCCCAAAGGAAAAGAAGCAGGACAAGTGACTGACTCCTTCCTTCCACTCTCATTCATCTTGCAAATTCCTTTTTTTCTGTTCATTTAACATAATCTTGGAACCTGAAACCACACGTTGAAGTATATGGTCCGTCTCTGGACACTATCAGCTGTTTGCTTATTTCCCTAGAGCTACAAATAAACATCTGATCTCTCTCTTCTCCATTTCAACATCTGCAATATGTTCTCCAAAATCCCTTACTTCAGTCAGTTAAAAAGCAAAACAAAAATCATTCAACTTATTACACAATATTTTCAATTTTTTTCTTTGTAATTTCTTGCTCCATTCTTAAACTTGCCAATCAGGCCTCCTGCAAATTCCCACCAAAGCAGGGTTTCCTAATTTAACAAAACGCAAAACTCAAAAAGAAAACCAATCCTGCCATTTCTGGCTTAGGGAAACCTGAAACTTTCCTTCAATACTCTGTGGCACTGCTCAGTGCTTTAGTGCCTAATTCGTATAACGAGCTAAGAGCAGAAAAACCACTATGCAATAACAATCTTAAAATGCGCAAGGCTTTGAGAACATGGGTTTTCAACATACAGCTTGCTCTTTCAGGATCTGTCTTCTTATTTGCATACATTGCTGAGCAGGAAGTTATACGCAGTACTTTTAGTCTCCGCGTGAAAAGGTCCTTCAAGCTAATCTAATTCAATTCAGTTCTCCTTTTTCTTTTTCTTTCTTCTTCTCCTAGCCCTCTTGTCGGAGAAGCAATCGTCAAAAATCAATGTTTCAACAGATCTCGCGGTGCTATTCGAGATTCCCTATTTAAAAAAAAATAGAATTGATGCAACAGCCTGTTCCTTCCGGGGTTTTGGGCTGGAATTGCCGTGCTTAGAGAGCCCGGTGGAAGCTGCTAAAGGCGGAGGCGGGGCTCTGGCGAGTTCCCCTTCCACCTTCCCCCACCCTTCTCTGCCAACCGCTGTTCAGCCCCTAGCTGGATTCCAGCCATTGCTGCAGCTGCTCCACAGCCCTTTTCAGGACCCAAACAACCGCAGCCGCTGTTCCCAGGATGGTGATCCGTGTGTATATCGCATCTTCCTCTGGCTCTACGGCGGTAAGGAGAGTGGGGAGTCCACCTTTGTTGTTTTTCCTACACACCAGTCCTCTGCTGCCCCAGAACCATTAAATTGCAGAAGTTCCTTTGGCAGCTTCTTCTTCGGAAGACTCATGCATCCCCCACTCCACCCCTCTTCTTCCCTTTTTTCTCTTTGTTGCAACGATTTCATTTTTTTCCCCATAGAGTTCAGCTTTGTTTGCCTCGTGACGTTGGGGGCCAAGTTTCTCCTTTGAAGGAAAAAGAAAGCTACCAAGTTTTGGGAGATGGGAGATGGTGGTACACGGTCTTTAGAGTTAGGTGAAGTCAAGTAAAATCGCACACTGGTGAATTTCAAAGAGTGGGAGAGATCTTTGATGAATACGCTGAAAGTACTGAGGCAAAGACGAGTGCATTTCTGTAAAGGATGGGGTTACACGTGCTGTAACTGATGGGGATTGAGTGGAGGCCTATTGAGGCACTGTGATTATTTTGGGTGAGTGAGACCCTGGTAATAGAATCACTTTGAGAGTGTGTAGAAGAAAGTGGTTAACTTGAGCTTAAAGGCCTGTTAGAACTAGACAGACTGGGAGGGGAGTTGGGAACAATGACATATATATATATTTTTTAATATTACAGGAGATTCAGTCTTCCCCCTATATTGTCCCTTATTTTGACTTTTTCTGTTCTTTCAAAGTATTTTAAAGTTCCCTCACTGCTTCAAATATATTGAGAACTGGAAAGGGAGATAAGTGGCTTCTTGTGTAGTTGCCAGTTGAGTGTGTGCTGCTTCAAATGATAGGACTTTCCTTCATGGATTCACTTACTCTTAATTTAGAATAACAATTTTTCAGCAGCTGTGGGGAGAATATGATAAACTGGGGTGAAAGATGAGTGTATATCCATGATCAATGAAAATGCTTCTGCTTTTCACAACTCAAGAGAAAAGCCAACAGTGGCAAGAACAGATGTGTGGTTTCAGGATGTAGGATACAGGGACCCCTTCCATGTTCTTGAGCTTTAGAGGAGCAACTAATTAAGATTATTGTGTGTTTTTATTTTTTTGGCTTGTTTATTTACACCTGAGAGGATGTGAAATAGAACTGAAGGTTATGTTAAATCACAAACGCTTTGATCTTTGAACTTTGTCTTCTCTGGCCATCGTATGTGGAGATGTTTATACAATTTTGGAATATCAGAAAATTTAATATTACATTTTTGAACAAGTTTAGGTTGAAAAAAAGGACACCTTTTATATTTCTGTTGGACCTCATTTTATGAGCATCTTGCTTTATTGTTTTCCGCACATAATGTCTAATATTTCAAAATAAAGTTTGAGTTGCTCAAAGTCTCAACTCAAGTCCAGCTTAATGCCTCTAGTTAAACCCCCAATGAGACTGAACAGATCAGGCAGTTAGTTTTGCTTTGAGAGTCATGCAGTTTCAGTACTGTTACGTATTCTTTGCTTTCTCCTTCTTCTACCCCTCCCTCAAAAGTAGATTCAAGAAAAAACTGCTTTCAGAATTTCTATTCAAGCAAGAATAACTGCACCTCTCTTTGTTAAGTCTTAAGTTTCTAAGAACCTTAGAAATGGCTGCTGTCTTCTATTATTTCCTTTATTGGACTCTATTGTTTTTTTTTTTTTTTTTAATTTCAACGTTTATTTTAGATTCACATGGTAAATGTGCAGATTTGTTACACGGGTATACTGTGCAGGGTTTGGAGTACCATTGAACCCGTTACCCTAGTATAGTACCCAATAGGTAGTTTTACTACCTTTGCCTTCCTCCCTCCCTCCTCTGTAGTCTCCAGTGTCTATTTTTTCCATCTTTGTTGGACTCTATTGTGGAAGACCATGCAAATGGAAGACGTTTATGGTATTTGTATTCTATTTCATTTTTTTTTTTATCACGGGTAATTAGGAATTTGTCTCCTGTAGTAATTTCAGTTGATATAAACCTGTTGTCAAAATTCTATTTCATAATGCCAAAAATAAATTCTTGCTTTATTATAATATTACAACACTTTTAAATAATACTAAAACAGTATAAAGTGAGTACTTGTTTATAAAATGAATGGAGTGGTGATTATTTACTTCAGAAAGGCACTTTTCAGTTTGCACTACTAAAGTTCTCCTTTAAGATTGATGCCCACCCTGTTTGTTTTAATACATAAGTTAGAAAATTTTGAACAAGTATCCTGATAGAACCCTACTGTTACACAAAGTGAGATACTTCAATAAGTGACTAAGTTTAGTTGTCTGAAGAACAGTTAAAGGCTTCTTTGCTTTGGATTGATAGTAGCTGACTGTTTCTTAATCTTCCTACTGGTTGTCATTAAAAAAAAAAAGCAATAATAGGTGTTATACTGGGCAGAGTGGGGGATCTGGATCTGTGATAACTGGCAATCAATGTCAACTTATTTTGTCTATATTCCAAGACTCTTTGTACCTCATAGCCTTATTAAAAAAAAAAATGTTTAAAAAATGTGGCCTAACAGTGAAGAGTAGCAGTTGCTTCTCAAAAGTTTAGAAATGAAAACAAGTATGTTGGCCTTTGCAATGGATTCCTTTTTTTATTTTTATTTTTATTGATATATCATAATTGTACGTATTTATAGGGAACACGTGATATTTTGATACATGAATATAATGTATGATGATCAAATTAGGGTTATTAGAATATCCATCACCACAAACATTTATCATTTATTTGTGTTGTGAACATTCCAAATATTCTAGCTGTTTTTTCTAGCTATACAACAAATTATATTGGTAACTATAGTCACACTATTGTGCAATTGAACAGTGGATCTTATTTCTTCTATCTAACTGTATTTTTGTACCCATTAACCAATCTCTCTTCATCCCTCTTTTCCCCTACCCTTCTCAGCCTCTGGTAACCACCATTCTACACTATATCCATGGGATCAACTTTTTTAGCTCCCACTTGAGTGAGAACGTGTGATATGTCTTTTGTCTTTCTGTGTTACATCTTCATTCACTTAAAATAATGTCCACCAGGCTCACTCATGTTGTCACAAATAACATAATTTCATTATTTTTTTATGGCTGAATAATATTTCCTATTCATTCTTCCACTGATGGACACTTAGCCACATATCATAGCTATTTTGAATAGTTCTTTAATAAACACGGGAGTACAGATATTTCTTTGATATACTGATATCCTTTCTTTTGAATCTATACCCAAAAGTGAGATTGCTAAATCACGTGGTAGTTCTATTTTTGTTTTTTGAGGAACCTCTATGCTGTTTTCAGTGGCAGCTCTAGATCATGAGTTCTATTTCTGTTTTTTGGAGAAACCTCTGTGCTGTTTTCCAGAGCAGCTATACTAGTTTACATTCCCACCAAAAGTGTACTAGTATTCCACTTTCTCAGTGTCCTTACCAGCATTTGTTATCTTTTTGGTAATAGCCATTTTAATTGGAGTGAGATGTTATCTAATTGTCGTTTTGATTTGCATTTCCCTGATGGTTAGTGACGCTGAACATTTTTTCTTATACCTGTTTGCAATTTGTATGCCTTCTTTGGTGAAATCTTTATTGAAATCATTTGCCATTTAAAAAAATTGGATTATTTGTTTTTGTTGTTTTGTTTTGCTATTGATTTCCTTATATGTTCCACATATTAATCCCTTGTCAGATGGATAATTTGAAAATATTTCCTCCCATTTTTAGATTTCTCTTCACTTTATTGGTTGTTTCTTTGCTGTGCAGAAGCTTTTTAGTTTAATATAGTTCCATTTATCAATTTTTACTTTCATTGCCTGTTTTTGAGGTTTTACTCAAAAAATCTTTGCCCAGACCAATGTAATGGACTTCTTGATAGTAAACATAATAATGATTGCCAGTAGAAACCCTTAACTATGTCAGATACTATCTCATTTTTTAAACTTATCCTTTGAATTAAGTACTATGATTATCTCTATTTTTCAAAGAAGGAAATACAGTATACAGGTTCAAAGAGTAAACAACTTTCTCAAGGTTACACAGTTAGTAAGCCATGGAGCTAGAATCTAAGCAAGATGTTTGAGTCCAAAGAATATGTACTTGACCACCAAGAAATGCATCCTCCCAGTGATTAATGGCAACTAGTAGGCATGAGGAGATAAATTTGAACATGAGGTGACAGGTAAGGGAAGAAGTATGTCGTGTAAGTGGAAGAAGAGTTGCCTGGCATGTGCATATAGGGGAATAGAGAAATGGGCAGCTATTTCCCATAAATGGGATATTATGTCTAATAGGGAATGTCAGTAAGTAGGGTAAGTGACTATTCACCCAAGGCCAAGAAGATAGGGAAAACCTACATATTAGGAAAGCCTAAACTGGTCTGGGATAGGTCAAGGTATAAAATTCAAGTCTTAATACTGTTTAGTTTGATGGGAACCATTTAACAAGAATGCAGCTTCCAAGTTGTCTGTCTATATGAAATGATTTCTGTTTGTTCAGAACTGTTTATGCGTGTCTTAACTCACGGTGACACAGAGGTATATGCCATGTTTTGTTTCTTGAGATTGTAATGCCTTGTAAATTTACATTTAATGGAAAATGAATAGTAATCCCAAAGCCTATATAACTTAATAAATTGCAATAACTTTTTAGCAAAAATCGAAATTGGCCTAGAATGAGAATTGCTGGAGTGATAATAGCTGGGAGAATTTTAACTGGTTTGGGAGTTTTCTCCCCATACTTATTTCCCCAAGACCCTGAATGATCTCCGTTTCATGGCATCTATGTATTCTATATGTGCTTTGGTGTAGGAATTTTAAGATTGTGGGAAATAGATGATTTCTTAGGGTTTTATCTGTGAAGTGAATTTTAAAATTGATATATTTTATATAAATGATAAAACAGAAGCCAGTTGTAGCTTGGATTGTCCATAAATTAAATATACATAATTTTTCACTATGGTTGTACTCTGCATAATTTATAACAACAGATAAAACAACATTCTTGATTGTGTAATCATTAGTCACTATTCATAGTATTTTCTTCATCTGGATAATATAGAAGAGCAAGACACAGTTCTTCATTATGTGGTTCTCAAATAATTATATCTTAGGTGCAGAATGTTTTGCTGCTCTGGCTCAGTACTTATACATTGAACATTGATTTCGTGTATGCAAGGGTTTCTGTAGTATCTTCCAAAGTTTGTTTGAATGTTGTTTAAAGGTGTTCATAGAAGGTGTTCATTTAGAAGACCAAAATTAGAGACTGTTCACCAAATGACTTGGACATGCCTTTTGGAGGTTCCTGACAGTGGAAAGTGTCTGTTTTCACATGGCAAATGCAGAGACTCAAGATCAATGCTTTCAAATTGATGCTTAGTATTTGATGGCTGATTCCCTAAATTTCACAGAAACAATGGCAAAGCCATTGGAAAAATTTGGCCCAAAAAGAGGCTTGGGTATCAGTGATGGTGATTCTTGGGCATTTAAAAAGATGCTTAAATGTTGAACGGTTGTAGAGAAGAATATACTGTGAAAGTTTAGTAAAGATTCATTATCTGGTAGAAGAGAAAGAGAAAATGGATTTATCTCTAGCACAAAGATAAGATACTTTCTTGAGGAAGGGTTTTGGTCAATAAATCTTAAGCTCAACCCTCCACCAGGGTTGGCTTAAGGAAAAAAATAAAATAAAACCTCAAATACCAATCAGATTGAATGCTCTCTGTAGCTAATCTTTAAAACATTTTCTGAAATATATATTGTTCCATTAACCATGTATAATTTACAAAAACATTTCCTACTTTAATGGAATTATCAAGTTGAATTTTGTATTCCATCTCCTACTAATAAAAGGAAACAGATTAAGAGAGAAGCTGTTGGTTAACTATCTGACCATCTGTTTGTTTTCAGATCTACTTTGCAGCCCATAAGGAGGCCTTTTAAACCCAGCCCTTAATTACTTTCTTCAATCCAGACCAAGATTAAACAAAAGTACATTTAGAGAGACAGGGCAGTTTATTTTTCTTAATATGAAAGACAAAGCTGACTTTTTACACTTGGCCAGCAGAGAAGAATTTTAAGCAAGGAGATTTTTTTCTAGCCCAGGTCTTGCATGTTGGTTTTATTCGCTTGTGTGAAATCTTACAGACTGTCAGAACATCAGGCAAAAATTTCAATTATAAGTTTAAAAGTATCATAACAAATTCAAAGACTGTATATTTGAAGTGTTCAATGACAGTAGTTTTTTTTTTTGTTATTGTATTGCCCTTTCGTTAGCATAACCTAAGATTTTTTTTTTTTTTTTTTTTTTTTTTTTTTTTAGGATGGAGTCTTTCTCTATCACCCAAACTGTGGTGTGGTGGTGTGATCTTGGCTCACTGCAACCTCTGCCTTTCAGGCTCAAGCGGTCCTCCTGCTTCAGCCTCTCAAGCAGCTGGGATCACAAACATGTGCCACTATGTCTGGCTAACTTTTGTATTTTTGGTAGAGACTGGGTTTCACCATGTTGCTCAGGTTGGTCACGAACTCTTGAGCTAAAGCGATCTGCCCTCCTCGACCTTCCAAAGTGCTGAGATTACACGTGTGAGCCACCGTGATCAGCCGCTAAGATTTGACTTTAGTAGTAGTAAAGGCAACACTTACTTATGCATTGTATATGTCTGGCAAGGTGCCCAGGGCTTTACCTACATTATTTTATTTAATTGATCTTTACAATAACATTTTAATATAGTTAAAAGATTCACAGATTAAAATTCATTTTATGTAATTGGAGGGGGTATCTCTAAGATCCGAAACATAGGTACATTGCTCAAGATCAAAGAGCTAGAAATGGCAGAGCTGTGATTAGAGCCTTGGTATTCAGATTTCAGAACCCACTCCTAAAGACTGCATTATTTACATATCCTCTCTATATAGGTATTGAATAGAAATTACCAATAATACATAAAAATCCTGTTATATGATTTGGAAATAAATTACCATTTAAGAGGGGATGATGTCCAAGTAGGCAAATGTGTCCTCATTCATATCCATACTCGAGAGTGAAGTGAGAGTTGGCATTGGTAGGCAGGCTGAGTGTAGGGAGGATAGTAGCACCATGCTCTTTTACAATTTAGTTCTTTTTTTTTAATCAAATGAGTTAACTGAGGACACACTTAAAAATAATATTTGTCTGTACTTCCTTATGCTGGCCTGTGTTACATATTGAATTTTTATGACTGATTCTCTTCCATGTTATGTGGCTATAGACCAACATAATTAAAAGGTGGTTTTTATGATTCTGTAAATCTGAATTAACCAGGAAGGCAGTACTGCTATAACTTGTAAACTCTGGTTTTAGACTCTCGTCCTTGAGTTCTGGCCATTTGGCTGAGTCCTTTTTGGAAATGAGACCCTATCCTAGGGTTAGGGTTGAGCCAAGCCTTTCTGCTTGGGAGATTTCCAAAAATGAGTCAAGACAAATAAAATTTCCCCTTTCAGACACCAGAAAATACTAATCTTAAGTAACATTTACTACATGAGAAAATTCTGTCTGTTTTACCATCACCTTTCAGCCAGTTGTTTCATTATAAGTGCAACATATTTTTCTGTTAAAATGATGAGTAAATATATATTTAATAGTAGTTGTATGATACTGGAGACCATTATCTTCAGTATGTAATATCAAATTTGATTTAGAAGAAAGACAAGCATAGACAATTATTTAATTTATTAAACATATGATCAATCATCTTACTTTAATTGCTCATGAAAATGTCAGCTTTAGTGGATAATACTAAGAACTATAATTCATTAAGTACTTACAGTATGTCAGGCACACCAGTAAGAACTTTACATGTATTATTTCATTTTTCTGACAACTCAATGAAGCCAGTACCCTTATTATCTTTGTTTTTAAGAAGAGGGGCTCAGAGAACTAGCAAGGTCACAGAGTTGGCAAAGCACCCCCCAGGTCTGTCTGATTCCAGGCCCATGGTCTTAAGCCCTATGCTATTCTGCCTACTGGTTGATATTCACTAATTACCTACTCTGAATGCAGCTCTGAAACTGATTTACAAGTCATTGTAATACTTCTTTTCTGATGAACTTGAAAAACCATGAAAAATACTTCTTAATTAATTGGACTATAGCAATACTTGGTCTATAGATATACTGAGGATAATTCTGGTGATCTTTTACATTAGGTGGAGAACTTGAGATTATCAGAGGAGAAAATCAAAGTTATAAATGCTGAGTATACACTTTTAGTTAGAATGCAGAACATATACTTTTATCCCGATTTCAGAAAATCATTTTATTGCAATGTAACGAAAAGTAGTTAAGATGGATTTCTTTTTGAAGGTATTTTAAAGCTTTTTTAGCTTTAAGGATGAGATATATGTTTTTGGCTGTTGCCTGTGTGATTTGAGTAAGTCATAAAACTTTCTTTGCCTCTCATCATTCTCACAAGTTGAATATGAGTAACTAAAAATGAAGAGTATCATGAAAGAAAGCTTCCAGAAGTGTGTGATGGTTAATACTGAGTGTGAACTTGATTGGATTGAGGGATTCAAAGTATTAATCCTGGGTAGTGTCTGCTGTGGATGTTGCCAAAAGAGATTAACATTTGAGTCAGTGGGTTGGGGAAGTCAGATACACCCTTAATCTGGTGGGCACAATCTAATCAGCTTCTAGCAAATATAAAGCAGGCAGAAAAATGTGAAAAAGAGAGATCGGCCTAGCCTCCTAGGCTACATGTTTCTCCCAAGCTGGATGCTTCCTGCCTTCAAACATCGGACTTTAAGTTCTTCAGTTTTGGGAGTTGGACTGGCTTTCATTGCTCCTCAGCGTGCAGACAGACTATTGTGGGACCTTGTAATCATGTAAGTTAATACTTAATAAACTCCCCTTTATATATATATATGCGTGTATATATGTGTGTGTGTGTGTGTGTATGTATATATATATATATATATATATATATATATATATCTTATTAGTTCTGTCCCTCTAAGAACCGTGACTAATACAAAGTGTTATCGGAAATTCATTACTAAAAATAATGAAATCTGATCTCATAATTTCAGAAAAAGCATAATTGGTCTCGTGAGTCAGGAAATATTTTGAACTTCTCCAAGATGCAGTAATTGGGGTGAAGTATTTTCAGTGAATTTCTACTTAAAATTTAAGAGGAAAGGTAGGCCTAGCACAATGGCTAATGTTTGTAATCCCAGTACTTTGGGAGGCTTAGCGGGGATGATCATCTGAGGCTAGGAGTTTGAGACCAGCTTGGGCAACAAAGCAAGACAAAAAATAAAAAACAAAAAAGAATAAAAGTGTTAAATTTAAACTTTCTAAACATTGTTTAGGGAAGAATCAGGGTTGTTGGTGGTGATGAGACAATTTTCCAGGTAACAAGACAAATAACTGGTGAGTTTTAAAGTGAGCAAAATGGAAGTGTGGACAATTTTATGCCTGACTTTAAATTTATGTGATTTTTTTTTAAAAGAGGATGTTGAAAGGCAAGTAAAAAATATTGTGAAAAAAATGTGACTAAACATTTATAAATTGCCCAAATTGTATATCAGATTAGGATATTTTGTTAGATTGTTAAGTTAATGTCAAAGAATGAGTTTTTTTTTTTTTTTGAGACAGAGTTTCGCTCTTGCTACCCAGGCTGGAGTGCAGTGGCATGATCTCGGCTCACCGCAACCTCCGCCTCCTGGGTTCAAGCAATTCTCCTGCCTCAGCCTCCTGATTAGCTGGGATTACAGGCACACGCCACCATGCCCAGCTAATTTTTTGTATTTTTAGTAGAGACGGGGTTTCACCATGTTGACCGGGATGGTCTCGATCTCTTGACCTCATGATCCACCCGCCTTGGCCTCCCAAAGTGCTGGGATTACAGGCGTGAGCCACTGCGCCCGGCCCCAAGAATGAGTTTTGTTTAGCTTGTGTTTATATCCAGTTAGAAATTATGTGGCTATGATTAAGCTCTGTTTTGGGAGCTTAAGAGAAGAGTACCTTTCTCACTTGGGATTTAATCTGACTCTACTCAAGAGTTGAACTGGAGAAGTAATGTACATATCCCAGGGGATCCTTATGATGCCCAAATGTCAGGGACTGCTTGGGACAGATCCCACCAGACACACAGCATGTGTGTACTTTGCAAAGTCAGTCACTCTAGGTTTCATGAAAACTCAAAGCATATAATACGATCTTGTCAAAATTATGTCTACATGTCCAAGTGGATTTACTATAAATCTATGTCTACTTTTTGAAAATTATTTATTTATGGAGATTGATTTTTTTTTCATTTCATATTATGGTTGGGTAGGGAAGTCTTAGAATTGTACTTTCTGGTTAAAGTATAAAACCAGCGATAGAGTGCATAAACATTATATTGCTTAAAATATATGAGAATGCCTGAAAAGGAGCTATTAATACAAAAATGAGATTCCATTTTGTGCAACAGCTCAGGTAAGAGAAGAGATTTTGGGGAAGAAAAAAAAAAACAAGATTCGAAAGGCTGAATTATCAAAACATGGATTTCTCCAAAAGCAGTTATAAGAAAAAATAGTTAGACTATCTCCCAGTGATTGAGGTAATCATGATTCTTCACCCAACCTCCACAAATTTCCAACACTTGATGTCACACAATTTATTAAAATATTTGAAGGTGGAGGGGGCCACACTTCAAGCGACAGTGACACAGGATGGCAGCCACCACGGGCTTGGGAATGAAAACCCTGTGAAATTTCTGACTGTTGGAAGAACTCGAAGAAGGCCAGAAAGGAATAGGAGATGGCACAGTTAGCTGGGGTCTAGAAGATGAAGAAGACATGACACTTACAAGATGGACAGGTATGATAATTGGGCCTCCAAGAACAGTTGATGAAAACCGAATATACAGCCTTAAAATAGAATGTGGACTAAATACCCAGAAGCACCCCGCTTTGTAAGATTTGTAAAACAAATTAATATGAATGGAGTTAATAGTTCTAAATGCAGTGGTTGACCCAAGAGCCATATCAGTGCTAGCAAAGTGACAGAATTCATATAGGATCAAAGTTGTCCTACAAGAGCTTCGGCGTCTAATGATGTCTAAAGAAAGTATGAAACAGGCCGGGCGCGGTGGCTCAAGCCTGTAATCCCAGCACTTTGGGAGGCCAAGGAGGGTAGATCACGAGGTCAAGAGATCGAGACCATCCTGATCAACATGGTGAAACCCCGTCTCTACTAAAAATACAAAAAATTAGCTTGGAATGGTGGCTCGTGCCTGTAATCCCAGCTACTCAGGAGGCTGAGGCAGGAGAATTGCCTGAACCCGGGAGGCAGAGGTTGCGGTGAGCCGAGATCGCGCCATTGCACTCCAGCCTGGGTAATAAGAGCGAAACTCCATCTCAAAAAAAAAAAAAAAAAAAAAAAAAAAAGTATGAAACTCCCCCAGCCGCCTGAAGGACAGTGTTACAGCAATTAATCAAAAAGAAAAACCGCTGGCCTTCCCTTCCCTCCCCATTCAATTTAAGCAGTCTTCATTTTCCACAGTAGTAAATTTTCTAGGTACGTCTTATAGACCTCAAAGTACTGGAAAGGAAGCTCCCATTCAAAGGAATTTATCTTAAGATACTGTAAATTATACTATTTTTTTTGTCCATTTGAAATATATAAGTTGTACTATAACAACAAAAAAATTTGAAGTTAGAATGCTGAGCATTAATTTGTGTATTTGTTAGTAAAAATATATAGAAATTTTTATTTCATATGATTAATGGTGAGTCATTTTTCTTTGTAAAAGCATATGATACAAAGATAGATGGCATAGCATTATGCATTTTTTCTAATTTTTTTTTTTTAGTTTCAGCAAGTGCCTTCAGCAACTTTCAAGACATATAAGGCAGATTTCTGCACCTAATTAACAGATTTTGAGGCAAGGTTAAAATTTTTACAGTTTATTTTTTAACTTTCCAACTAATTAATGGACCCATCAAAAGTTAAAAATACGGGCCGGGAGCGGTGGCTCATGCCTGTAATCCCAGCACTTTGGGAGGCCGAGGTGGGTGGATCACATGGTCAAGAGATCCAGAACATCCTGGTCAACATGGTGAAACCGCGTCTCTACTAAAAATACAAAAAATTAGCTGGGCATGGTGGCGCGCGCCTGTAATCCCAGCTACTCCGGAGGCTGAGGCAGGACAATTGCCTGAACCCAGGAGGCGGAGGTTGCAATGAGCCGAGATCGCGCCATTGCACTCCAGCCTGGGTAGCAAAAGCGAAACTCCGTCTCCAAAAAAAAAAAAAAAAAAAAAAAAAGTTAAAAATATTTTGTAGAACTCTACTGCAGAATAGTACTATTTCAAAATTAAGCAAAGTGATGAGCAACAACTTGTCTACCTCTTTCACTTCTTATTACACAGGATATAATTATAAATTGGTACATTTCTAAATAAATATTTGTTCACATATGAATGGATGGCTTGTTGAAATTCAAGTGTAAAACAGGCCACCCAAGCGGAGATTTGCAGTTGCTAGTTGGAAATGTGTGAGTAGAGTTTGCAAAAGATGGTGAATAGAGAGTAGATATGGGAGTCATTCACTTATAGGTGCTGCTTCAAACCTTGGAAAAGAGTGAGCTCACTAGGAGAAAGGATTATGGCATGAGATGAGAAGAGAGCTGAAAACAAGAACAGGACCTTGCTAAAAGTTCACATTTAGGAGGAGGTGAAAGAAACAGGAACAACAGGAAACAGGTGGATTCATTAGGAAAGATCAGAGTAACATCTGGTAATAGAAACCGTGGTAAGGAAGAATTTTCAAGGAGAATGAACATTGTTTGTTAGTTTCATACAGGAATTATGAAAACTGATAAAAGGTCATTGAATTCAAAATAAGGAAATGATTAATGACCTTGGAGATAAGCAGTTATAGTAGAGTGGTGAAAACAACAGCATGATTGGGAAAGGTTAAGAAATGGAGCACATAATGTAGAAGAGATAAGTGTGTAGACTAATATTTGGTAAGAGGAAAGGAGATGGAAGATGGCTGAAAATAGTTAAAATTATATTATTCCAGAGTTGTTAAAAAAGAAGAAAATTAAGTGAACTGAAATTTTTTCTAGTAAAATCCTATTTGTCTGTTTTCCCAGCCTAGATTTATCAGATCATTGTTGATTCTTTAATTTCACCATAGAATCAATTTTAAACTACCTCAATTTTTGGTAGCTGAAACATTCAATAATTAATATTTGGATATTGTGACACAGAGAGAACGTGAATATTTGTGACAGGGAAGAATGAAAGCAAATATTTTTATTTTGTTCTACTTGAGAATGTCCAATGAATAGTTTTATCAGACAAATGAATGTTATTTAAAAAGCATTTAATTACCCTTGTAAAATATAAGCAGGAAAGTCGAAGTTCTCATAAAAAAATATGAAAAACAGCTGGACAATTTTTATTTCCACTATTTATTTGTTTAACTTTAGTAAAGACCAGTTTGATTCTTTAGAACAGATTGTTTTTTACACTTTGACTTCTGGCTGTGGGATGGATTATGTTAGTCATAAGAAAGTGTAACTGATCTAATACTTTACACTTATTTTCCTTTCCCCCTAATGCTAACCTAGCTTCTAGGAGGCTGGAAAGAGTATAGGGTCAGAATGTCGGTAGGCAGATCACTTTCTTTAAGATTCCTGGGCTGACTTAAGATCTGGAGAACACCATTCAAGAAAGAAGATAAAGAAATGTAAATGGAATTACATCAAAAGTTTGGAATTCCATATCAATGACATTATTAAATTCTAGAGGAGAGAGTTTATGGAGCTCTGGTTCCATAAACTCTCTCCCCTAGAATTTCATACTTCTACGTTCAATACTTCTGCACTGAACTAACTTGATAGTATGTGCACATACATGTACCATATAAACACTTGGCAGAGATGCTCAAGTGCAGAGCTTTGCACAGGGGGAACGATTTGAATAGATTATGTAGATAGGTCCTGCCGATTCTGGACCTATGATTTGTGATTGAAAATTATCTTGCTTGCATCCTCAAATTCACTCAATCATTCAGAAAATACTTATTGCCAGCCACTGGACTAAACTCTGGACCTAGGCTCTCAAGGATGAGAAAAGGCCAAGAATAAACATTTCCTCAGCCTCTTCCCTGAGCCATAATGAGGGAGAAAGTATGGGGCTGTCAATTTGAGGGACTAGGTTACATGGCCTGCAAATAAGAAGGGACTTAAGGCAGGGATTCTTTAGGGACTCCCTGCTTGCCTGTTGGTAAACTGTCTCACAGAAATGAGCATCCTCCGGTCCCCCAACAAGTGTGGAAACATAGTCTGCCTACCCTCTCCAGTCACCCTGACAATGCTCTTCCTGTTGAATGACAGTTCTGAAAAGTGATAATTTATTACTTCAGTTAAACTTTTACCGTTTTCTTGCCATTTCACTAGACAGAATTGTGGCAAGTAAATCCTAAGTACAATTTTCACTTCCTTCTTACACTGGAACATTCCCCAAAGGCATGACTATTATACGGTTCTGATTAAAGCCAAATGCTGCAGTCATAATAAATTAAAGCTTTGTGGCTTCATTGTTTGTTTCTACCATTTACCCTGGGATTATGGAACAAAGCCCACTAAATTCTCTTTTTCATTATCTGAAAAATACCTTTTAGATTTTTCTATAATTCCTTCACCTTGAGATTACTCTGGCCATCTTTTGTGTAAACAATTATGTCTTACAAAATCTGAATTGTATTCATTCATTCCTTTATTTATAATCTCAACCATTCTATGTTTGTCACTCTTTTCTGCTCTCTTTGGCTTTTTCCCTCTCTTTTCCAAGGGTTATAGGATTACTGATAGTTTGGTTTAAAGTTTAGTTCAGAATTCTATGTATCAATATGCTTTATTTACATTTTGTTTTAATTTTCAATTTTTAATTTTTGTGTATACATAGTAGGCGCACATATTTATGAAGCACATGAAACACTCTGATACAGGCACATAATGCACAATAATCACATCAGGGTAAATAGGAAATCCATGAACCCAAGCATCTATCTTTCCCTTGTGTTACAAATGATCTAGTTATACTCTTTCAGTTATTTTAAAATGCACAATAAATTATTGTTGACTATAGTCACCCTGGTTGCATGATCAAATAATAGATCTTATTCACTGACTCTAACTAAATTTTTGTACCCATTAACCATCCCCATCCTCCCTACCCATTACCCTTCCCAGCTTCTGGTAATCATCTCATTCTACTCTATCTCCATGAGTTTAATTGTTTTAATTTTTAGCTTCCACAAATAAGTGAGAACATGCAAGGTT